GATTTCTATCAGCTTCTGCTGGAGCTGGAGTTCTTGCTGAAACTCATCCAGGAACGGTATGTGAACTTCTGATTTGTTGAAAATTAAAGTAAAAATAATGCCGTGTTGTTGTCAGTTGTCCTGAAACTAGATTTAAGTATAATCAAATAAAACAGAATCCCTTCAGAGGACACAACCTATATTTGTTGGAATATTGGTGGGCGAAATTAAATCTATTTGATACATATAATGATTGAGCTATACAACAAGTGATAGACTCCCTTTTCCACAAGTCATCCTCGCCTGCGTAACATACAAACGTGAGATTTTTAACTTAGAGTCTCAAGGTACTACTCCTTGAAACATTTGTTAGGTTGGTTTAATTATTGTAGAAGTTCGAAACTTGAACTTAACTCCAGAATTAAGGTTTTAAGGTTAATGGATGCTAATTTAAGGAAGTTCATGTTGGTCTTAGTGGTCTTTCCTAATTTGTTGCAGATACATCTTAGAATGCAACTGAACTATTTTAAGGACGTGGAGAAATCACTGAGGAAGAAACTAGGTGATGCAGATGCCAAGAAGTGCTTAATAGAGCCGTTTACTTGTTCAGCATAGGTGGAAACGATTATTTAAGCTTTACCAACACAAATGCCGCACAAACCCACCGGTGTGTGGAAACTGTAATTGGGAACTTGAGATCCGTGTGCTCAAGGTAAGAATCCCATCTTCTCCAAATTTGTTTGTCAACAACTTTGCTAGGAAGTGTTTGCTAATAATTTTAGTTTGTAAATAAAACAGGATATATATGCGTTTTTGTCAACAACTTTGCTAGGAAGTGTTTGCTAATAATTGTATGAACTTTGTGTATATGCGTTTTTGTTAATTTCTCATGTTGATATGTTGTGAAGGATTCAAAGAAGGGAAAGCTGCGTGTTGCGGCAGCGGGACTTACAGGGAACACTAAAAAAAATTCATATTTAGTGACTAATAACTTAGTCACTAAACCTTTATTTTTTGTTACAAATTAAAATTAATGATAAAATTTAAATTATTAGTAAAACTTTTGTCATTAATGCTCTTAATGACGAATTTAACACTTGTCATAGAAAAAAAATTTTATAGTAATGAAAAAAATCTATATTATTAATGAATTATTTGTAACAAATTTAGTCATTACAAAAAAAAAAAATTTTTATTACAATAATTTTTATCACAAATGTTACAGTTGAGTGACAAAAAAATAGTCATAAATACAATTGTAACAAAAAATTTAGTCATTAATTATTAAAATTGATATTAAATCAAAAAGATATTTATATAATTACAACACAAATATTATAACAAAAATTATGTCACAAAAAAATTGATATATAAATTTATCACAAAAGTTTAATAAAAAATATTATCATTTCAATACTAATCAATTTTGATTAAAATTAATTAAACTCGATTAAAATTAATCAAGTCCAAACTAAGCTTAAGTTTTATTGAGTTTCACATATTTTACAGTTCAAAACTTTATTTTCTTAAATATTTCTCATCAATGTGAGATATATTTATAATGTAAAATCTTATTTTTTTTATGTGTTTGTTACATATGTGAAATGTATTGATTAAAGAAAACTTAAATAAAGCTAAATTATAGTGATAATTTTTATCATCACAATTATGTATTCTTTTTGTGATAATTTTTAGTGACGAAATATATTTTTAGTGATGAATTATTTGATCATCATTGAATGTGTAAGGTATAAGTGACTCATATTTGAAAATTTTCTTAATTAGGTTGAGTTATAGTGATGATTTTATTATTACATACTTATTTTTTATTTGTGATTATTTTTCAGTGATGAAATATATATTTAATAATGAATTTTTTTATCAATATTAAATATATTTATATTTGTGATTAATTTTTAAATTCTGTTACAAATATAATGAGTTATAGTGTTGATTTCAATATTCATCACAGTTTTTTATCACTAAAAATCTCAATTCTTGCAGTGGAAGTGATTGTGGGGGAGAGATGAATGGAACTCAACCATATGAGCTATGCAGCTATCCTGGGGAGTACGTGTGGTTTGATGGTGGACATACCACCGAAAAGGCTAATCGCCAGCTAGCTGAGCTGCTGTGGAATGGGGTACCGAATGTCACAGGGCCTTACAACATCAAACAATTGTTTGAACTTGAATAACATGGTTGATGTATCCTGGCTTTCTTGTTGGGGGATATATATATATATATATATATATATAGATCAAGATCTTTTTTTAAAAAGGGACTAGGCCTACAACGAAATTTAATCCAACAAGTTTTATTTTAAGCTTAGCTAATATATGAACTATGAAGCCCATGCATCAGAGACTTGACCAGTCTTGGGTTTATTCGGCTCAAATCAATTTGCCGGTTGATCCAGCAAATGAAAGGTCCAACTCTAAAAGACCTATTGAATATTGATTGAATTTGAAAGGTTTGCAGTGATGAGCCAATCAAAGAGGTGGCTAGTGAAAGCAACAACACCACCAACAAAGCTTTGATATATAATAGCGTGATGAGAGCAAGCAAATTAAACAACCCTTGAACAAAAACACGTTTACAATTATTATTATTAGCCAAAATTCCACATGAAAGTCCCATTTTGTAGCTATGCATATCAACGCTCTACTTATGAGATGATAAGATGCAGGAGGGGCCCGCAATTAATGGCGGTGTTTGTGCCACAAATTTCTTGGCAAAGACAAATTGCTTGGCAAAGAGGTATCTTGCTTTTTCAGTGCAAAAGAAAATTTTGAGAAAAGTACATGGTGAATGATGGCTAGATGGGAAGAATTTGTTAACACACAAGTTATATAGTATATTTATATAAAATTTTAATTTTTTTAATTTTAATAATTAAAATTTATTATTATTTTGTTAATACATAAATAATTATTTTTAATAAATATAATAATAAATAAATAAATTTTCATTATTAAAAATTTTTAAAAAATAAATAATTAAAATTTTATATAAACACAATATATTAAATTTGTGCATAAATAACATATTTTTATTAAGTAGAGAATCGCAATTGCGGAGCAAATTACTAAATTAGTACCAGAAATTTAATAAAGGCCAAAAAAAGAGAAAGATGATCAGAATCATTGAAAAGCCTCTCTGGCATATTCCCACTCAATTATTGTTCTTTCTCTCTCAAGGACCATGTAATGCCAGAGTCACCGAGTCCAACTATCCAAGGTCAGTAAACCAATTGTTAGTGGAATGGACAACTATAACCTTCTTGCACAAAATAATACATGTAATCCCAAATTTCGACTTTACAAACTCTAGGGAGTTAAGTGTAACAGAAGCAAATTATCCTTGTTAACCTTGTCGTTCCTCCCAAGGAAATAAGAGAAAACCGGCACAGTTGGAATTATAACCGAATAGGACAGTTGTTTGGACTTTGGACATGTCAAACTGTAGGGATACAAAACGAGAGCAGACACTTGGGACCGTGGGCGTACAGAAGGGGAGTGAACATGCTGGATGCGGTGACCCTTATGCAAGGGGAATCGTCTATCTTCTTCTCCGGTTTCTAACCTATGGTGAACAAGAAACGAGCATGGGTCACTGTCGGCCCCAAATAAGAAGAACTACTACCAGAATGGTGGAACACACCCTGCGCGTTTCACATGCAGATGTGCAGCTAGCACTAGCAAGTGCAACAACGTGAAAATGAAACTTCCACGTTTTGCCACGTCAACTCCTCCAGCTGTCACCAGCTTTGCTGCGTTGAATCAATTGGTT